GCCACCACCGTGCTTCGTCATGATGCTGGTACCAACATGCTTTACATCTTGAAATAAAGGCAAAGTGCTGCTGGGTGAGCAGATGGGTCCAGTGTCTCTGAGGTAACGTGTTTTGACTTTACAAGCAGAAAAACAGACTTTTGGACACTGGACAGCTGCTTCTCTTTGTCCGCCTGCTGCACGTCTGATTTCATTTCTCACAGGCTTCTAAAATATCACATCCATGTTGAACTGGTGCATCAGCAGACGTCCTGCTCGGTGAGCAGAAGTTTTATTTACAGAGACGCTGGACGTCCAGAGCAGCTTCTGACCGGTCGGTGTGAAATGACAGGACGCTGAGAGTTAAAATAAGCTGCTGCGTACAATCCAGACAACGAAACACACACTTTAACTTTTCAGTCCTTCCAGCTCCAGACTGACAGTCGACTGATCCGTCAGCTGGTCAGTTTGCTCTCATCTGATGTATTTTAGGCAATTATTGTATCAAAACCAGAATATTCAGAACCAGAACCAGAAAAACTTCACTGATCCTCGAAGGGAAATCACTTCTAGTTGCTACCGTTCAGAAAAACACGAACACGAGCGAAAATATTTCTCCTCAAAATATAAACAAGAGCAGAAAAGTGAGAGAATAAAATGTAAACATGTAAACTGTAGTAGAAAAACATAAATACAAGCACACAGTGTGATAAATAAACAATATTAGAGTTAAAATAATAATAATTTATTTACTATCATGTGTCACATTAGAAGCAATATTCCAATTTTATTTGCAATGTTTTAAAACTATGTGGAATATAACTTTAATGCTTCATTATTACATTTCTACTTTCTGTATTATTTTAACTGACTTATTTATATTTTTATTAATGTAATGCTTTTGTCATGTTGATTTTTTTTATTAGATGTTGTATTTATTCTTATGTTTTAGGATTTTATTTTAATATCTCTTGGGATTAATTAATAATGATTTTTCTTTTCTTAAAATAAAATAAAATAAAATAAAATAAAATTTTTAAAAATAAATTAAATTAAATTAAAATTAAATAAAATAACATTTTTCTTTTCTTTTCTGTTCTTAAAATAAAATAAAATAAATTAAAACAAAACAAAATTAAATTAAATAATTAAAAATTAAAGCACGCTTCCTAATGTGATTTTATTTTATTTTATTTTCCCTTGGGATTAATAATGTTCTTTTCTTTTCTTTTAATAAAATTAAATTAAATTAAATTAAATTAAATTAAATTAAATAAAGAGCATGTCTGCTAATGTGGTTTTCTTTTATTTTAATTTCCCTTGGGATTAATAATGTTTTTCTTTTCTTTTAATAAAATATAAACAAAGACCAGCTAACGTGAGAACTTTCACCTCGTTTCAGAGACAAACATTATTTGGATTATTGAGGCATCAGCGCTGCAACATCACACGTCTCAGTTCGTGGATTTAAAGAATCAGGCGACGGTTTAAATGAAAACTATAAATAACTGCATTCACAGCATCAGGACTTCATGTGGAGGAAAAAAACGTCTTTCTCGCTCTGTTGTACAGCGACTAATCCGAATAAAGCGTCTGGGAATCCAAATGCGAGGCCTTTTCAAAGAGAGCTGCAGTCGGAGAGCGACGGGTCGGAATCAGGAAGCCCAGCTTTACTGCTCGGAAAGCCGAGCAGAACAACACGAGCTGATGCCTGAACTGATGCTCGTCTTCAGCCGCGTTTAACAGCAGCGAGCTCAAAGGAAGCTGAAAAAACTCAATCGTTCAACCAGCTCAGCGGAAAAAGAGCCAAACAGATAAATGGAGACATCAGGATGAGTCACGTCGTCCAAGTCGAGCATCGGAAGTGAATCACGATGTTTCATCACAGAGCTCAACATACAGCTCTACAAATAACTATTAATACAATTCTGTAAAAACTAACTTAATTAATTTAAATAAATAGAGACTTCATGTCTGCTGGTGTTGGACGTGTTGATAATATTTTCATATATTCATAAAATATCCAAGAATTTTTTTTATTTTTTTGCCACCAAATGAGAAAAATGAGGCAAACTGAGAAAAACGAGACACAAAACTGAGCCACAAATGAAAAATGAGAAAGAAAACAACACAAATGAGACACAAACAACAACAAAAAAGACCAAAAATTAGGAAAATTAGACAAAATGAGAAAACGAGACACAAAACAAGAAAAGTGAACCGCAAGAAATGAACAATGAGGGAAAATAAATCAACAGACAAAAGACACAAATGACAAAAACAAGACCAAAGTTAGACCAAATGAGAAAAATGAGACACGAGTGACAAAAGTGAGACATACATAAAAATAATTTGTTTTTAAAAAAGCAACAGGAAATGACACGAATGAGAAAAACAAGTTTAAAAAAAGAGAAAATTAGGCCAAAAAAAATGAGAAAAATGAGAAACAAAATTCTAAAATCAAGCCATGAAATAAGAAAAATTTGATAAATGAGGAAAATCGAGACACAACTAACAAATATGAGATTAAAAAAATAGAAAAATGAGAAACAAAATTAAAAAGTCAGGTAACAAAATGAGAAAAACAAGACAAAAAAATTATGAATGAGACAGAAAATGAACAAAAAATGCACAAAAAGGGGAAAAGTACATTAAAAAAAAAACAAAACTGAGGTGCAAAATAACAAGAACAAGACACAAATGACAAAAAGAAACACAAAATTAGAAAAATTACACACAAAATGAAAATATGAGAAAAATGAGAAATAATAAAAATGAAGCCACAAAATGAGAAAAATTAGACAAACTGAGAAAAACAGTTGCAAAGTGAGAAAATGAGACAAAAAAAATTGAGAAATTATACAAAAGGAGAAGAACAAATCAGAATATGTGAGAAAAATGACACAAAACATGAGAAAAAAGGACACAACTAACAAACATGAGACAAAAAAACGAGAAAAATGAGACAGAAAACACCAGAACTGAGACTAAATGAGAACAAGAAGACGTAAAACAAGAAAGATGAGAAAAACGTGACTCAAAGAAAACCGAGATAAAAACAACTGAGACGAGAAACAAACTAGAAGAACGACATAAATGAGAAAAACTGAGACACTGATCACATGTGGACAGATTAGTGTTTCTGAGTCCTGCTGACTGAACACGTCTCTGAGTTTTCTCTCCTTCTTCTTCCTGTTGTTCTGTTTTCATCATATTTCAGTTAAAAATGAGCCTCAGTGAAGAAAATGAATCTGCTGCTCGAGCTTCAGTTATCGAGCAGAAACATTCAACCTGGAACCAGAACCTTCTGACCCGCACATTAAAAAAACAAACGAGTAAAGCTCACCGCTCCGCTCTGCAGCCAGTCCATCAGAACCTGAGCGGTCTCGGTGGGCAGCTGGGCCCGGAGGGTCTCCCGGTCGTCCCGGTCGGGCCGGAGCTCCAGAGCCAGCTTCAGGTCCTCGGCCAGCTGGACCACCTGCAGCGGGCCGGCGCTGACCGGGGAGCCCAGGTCCAACATGCTGCTGGAGAACTCCATCGCTGCCGCCCTGGAGCCTGCAGGAGGAGAAAACAGCAGAAGTGAAGGCAGCAGGAAGCCGAGCTGAGTCTAATCAGAGCCGTACGTCCTCCTCCAGAACATCTCCAGAGTGTCCATGTGTCGCCTGGATCACGACCCGGTTCCAACATCTGGACGCACTTAAATGATCACGACTCTGAAATAACATCAGGCAGCAGCTGCAGCAGCTTCACACAGAGAACGGAGGAGATCCTCTGGAAGGTCTTTACCAACAACGTTCAGCGTTCAGCTCAAACGTTTCAGCATCGTTTGTCTCTTCAGGGACAGAAAGCGACACAAAACACTGTAGAGCTGCTTTTACTGCAGGTTAAAGAAGATGCATGAGATAAAAAAGAGACCAGATAAAGACACGATTCACTGGAGCTGCAGCCATTAATCGGTTAGTTTCCAATTTTTAAATCAATCAGGACTGGTTTTGAGAATGAGAAGGAGAAATTAGACACAAAACAAGAAAAACAAGACAAATTTGTAAATAAATAAATAAAAGAGAGAGACACAAAATTGGTAAAAACGGGCACGAAATAGAAATAAATTCACATAAAAGAGGAAAAACAATCAGAAAATGACAAAAAATGAGACGAAATGAGGACAACGAGACTCAAAAGACTCGTTTTTGTTTTATGTTTGCTGACTGAAGTCATCTCTGAGCTTCTCTCCTGCTTCCTGGTTGCAGGACTTTTATTTTGAAGTGAAACATGAAGCCACAGTGAACAAAAAGAGTCAAAACCTCCCAGAAACTGTTGGTATCAGAGGATTAGCTCGACTCATGTGGTCACTGTTCAGGACGTCGTCTTCATTCATTATTATGATTATTTTAAATAAAATGAGGGTTTATTTATCGGAGCTGCTGTCGTTTGTTGCCACAGATGAACGTTAACGAAGGTAAAACTGCTCCGGTGCTTCAGTCGGCTCGCGGTTTGCTTCTGATCCCACTTCCTGATTTGCGGATCGTGTTTCATCATCGGAAACAAAGAAGCGCTCCGGCGGCGGTGGAGGGATGTGATACGAGCGACCAATCCCCGCTGATAAGTGGCTCTAATTTCCTCGCTGCTGATTGGCCGATGCTATCGTTGGCGGGCTCGTTAATGTCTTTCTGTTCGTGGTCGGTCGTTTGTGGCCGACATAAAGCAGCAGGTTGATTTATTAAAGCCCTCGACCCTCCAGATGTTGAAGAAAACCGTCAGCTGGAGCCACGTAGACGTATGAGAGTTAAATAAAGTTAATAAAACCAGTAACCGACCAGTGAATGAATCACCGACCCTTCTGATAACTGATCAACCCTCTGATGGCAGCAGGAAACTGAACACTTCCTGCTTCCTGTCGTCCTCCGACACAGGAAGCTGAACATATCTGGACGAAACCAGACACTGGAGGAAACTGAGCCACGAAAATAATCAACGGAATAACTGAGAATGAAAAGAAACCACCGATGTAAGGACTGAGGTGTTTGTAGAACACTGTGTGAGGAGCTGAAGTCTCCTCTGAGGCCTGACAGCAGCTCCTCTGTCTCTGCTCAGGTGTGTTTGGTTTCGTTCCCACGTTCACGTCGTCCGTCGGCTGAAGCTCGTCTCTCTGCATCAAACACAACCTCTGATGTCCGGATGGTTAAAGATCCACCAGAGCTTCACTCATTAACCTGCTGCTGACGCCAGAACTCAGCCTCCAGCAAGAACAAAGTCCTCTGTTGTTTTAGATCTTTTTACCAGAAACATGATTTATTTAATAAAATTACAGCTAGTAGAGCTAAAATATCCTCATATTTTATAGATAAATGCCTTTATTTTAAACAAATATTATTGAGAAGCAAAAAAAATCATTTTCTTAACTTTTATTTGACATATTTTCCCCATTTTTGCAAAAATATAAACAACTTATTACAATAACTTTTTATTTTAACTGTAAAATAATAAAAAATAAAAATGTCTTCAGGATAAACAAAGTCTGAATTCTGCTGAAGCTTCAGTTTAATTGTTTAAATACACTTTATAAATATTATAAAATGTGTGATTATTAATATTTTTACTATTATTGATGATTAAGCGCACACGTTTTACAAAAAACTCAGATAAAATTAGCAATAAAAATGTGACAAAGACAAATTAGCAAAATAACAAAAGCATAAAGAATAAATGGAGCCGAGTTAAGACGAGGTGACATAAAGTCAAACTGGGTTTCACAATTCAAATAAAATCCTCCTCGTCCGCTCTGACGGCTGCCGATTGGCTCACCTGCGATGATGTCGTCCATCTGCTCCAGCGCCGCCTCCAGCATGTGACTGGCCTCCGTCTCCATGGCGACGGCGGGAAGCATCGGCTCTGGGCTGTTGTGGCGTTCTGCGGAAACACAAAATAAAAGTGGATTTATTAAAGGAAGTGGAAACGAACACGTTAGAACATCGTCAGGTTTGGATTTTTAAATAAATTTTAGTTTGTTAAACTTTAAATTCATTCATTCTGTATTAAAGCTGTATTTTTATTTGTTTTTCTAATTTTCTTTTAGTTTTCTCATGTTTTTATTCTTTTGTAACTTAATTTTCTGATTTTCTTTTCTGTCAAACGTCTCATTTTTCTTGTTTTGTGACTAAAATCAGGAAAAAAATGGATTTTTCTTGATTTTTTTGTGTCTCGTTTCTCTATTTCGTGTCATTTCCTTGTTTTGTGTCTCCATTTTCTCATTTTATATCTTGTTTTTCAGATTTTATCTCTCAAACCTCAAACCTGTTTGAGGTTTCGGGTTCTGGAGGAGTTCTGGAGGTCCGGTTTTGTCTCCTGATAAACATTGCAGCAGCTGGTGGCGGTGACGGCACCATTCAGGGCCGATGACAGAACGAGTCTGTTGGACGGCTGAGCTCAACACAACAAGGTGGCCTTTGTCTGAGCGTGAGTCAGCGAGGACGCCACGGAGCCACGCCGAGGCCACGACAAGAAACACAGAACCACTGGATGGAAGGTCCGGCTGCAGAAAACAGAACCCAGGCTCAGCTGCAGGCTAAAGGACTAAACGAAGACGATCAGCTGGAACATTAAAACAGTCACAGAGCACAAATGAAACAGATCAGCTCCTGTTTCAGTGACTCAGTGGAGACGAGAGGCTTCAGCGTGGTTCCACAGAGAGGAGATTAATGAGAGACAACTAATTAAGATGCAAATCGTTCAATATCTCCTATATCTGGAGCCACAGTTTTATTTCCCAGTGATGGTAACGTCTGTGAAACATTCCAGGGTTCAATATTTGTGTCCTACAGCGCAGGAGACGTTTATGAGACGTAAAAATGACACAAACAAGACACTAAATTTCAAAAATAAATAAAAAGAGAGACACAAAGAAAAATGAGACAAAAAAACAGACACAAAATGAGAAAAGCACGACACAAACATACATGTAGGCGTCTCGTTTTTGTTACGTGTGTGTTTATTTATTGTTATTTATTTGTTTTTATTGTGTCGACAGAAAACAAAAATGAGCAAAAACAAGACACAAAATTTTTGAAAAAGAAAAAAAGCACGACAGAAAGAAAAGACTGAAATTAGAAAAATGAGAAATTAGAAAAAAACAAAAGAAAAATTAGACAAATTTGTAAAAAAAAAAAAAAAA